CCGGGATATCAAAAATCAAACTTTCTCAAAATTTTCATGGAAGAAACTCAAGAAAGAGTGTGTTCTTTACACATTACAATTTTAAACATCTCAATTGATGGGTTATTGAGTGTAAGGTGAAGCAGATTGAATCCGATTCTTCCTTTTATGTAGAAACCTCTGCAAAGATCTCTTCATGGAGAGCCCGGAATCGGAACCACCTTCACGTTTACACGGTTCCGATCGATGTCGACGACTCGTGGATCGTCGGGTTGCTAGCATTATTATAGCTCTGGCCTGAAATGCACCAACAAGTTCATGAATTTCTAATCAAAATCAACCATTTTCTAATGCAATCCCAAGAAGAAAGGTACCTGATCCTCTGTAAAATCAGCCACACAAACTCTTCCATTGTAGAAAATTGTCATCTGCTGATGAGAGTTCTTGCTCGACTCATCATCTCTGCCATAAGAACAACCTTAATCAATCGCAAAGTCACGAGACACTATCTTTATTGATACGAAAAACTAAAATCAAAGTCACGAGAACTCTCATGTTATTGTGGAGGTTCGTTGTTTTATAAGTGATAATCCTTAGGTGTTAAACCTCGTAGGTGTAACGACTCAAGCCTACCACTAACAAATATTGTTTTCTTTGGGTTCTCCTGCTTCCCCTCAAGGTTTTTAAAACCCTACCGAGAAGTTTCCACACTTTTATAAATAGTGTTTCGTTCTCCTCTCCAACCGATGTGGGATCTCACAATCCACCCTCTTCGAGACCAGCGTCCTCGCTAGCGGATATTATCCTCTTTGAGCTTTCCTTTTTCAGGCTTCCCCTCAAACTTTTTAAAACGTTTGCTAAAGAGAGGTTTCCACATCGTTATAAATGGTGTTTCATTCTCCTCCTCAATCGATGAGGATCTTACAATCCACCCTCTTTGTGATTCAGCGTCCTCGTTGTCACTCGTTCCCTTCTTTAATCGATGTGAGACTCCCCAATCCATCCACTTCGGGTTCAGCCTCTTCACTGGCACATCGTCCGTTGTCTAGCTCTAATACCATTTTTAACAGCTCAAACCCACAACTAGCAAGTATTGTCCTCTTTAGGCTTTCTCTTTCAGGTTTCCCCTCAAGGTTTTTAAAACGTCTGCTAAGGAGAGGTTTCCACACTGTTATAAATGGTGTTTCATTCTCCTCCCCAACCGATGAGGGATCTTACAATCTACCCCCTTCGTGGCTCAACGTCTTTGTTAGCACTCATTCCCTTCTATAATCGATGTGGGACCCACAATCCACCCACTTTAGGGTCCAACATCCTTACTGGTACACTATCTCATGTTCAGCTCAAACCTACGACTAGTAAATATTGTCCTCTCTGAGTTTTCCCTTAAAGTTAGAGAAAAATTTTCACACTCTTACAAATAATGTTTCATTCTTCTTTCCAACCAACATCAGATTTCATAGTAGGTATAATCACAAACAATATTATATGTGATTGTGAAGGTTCATTGTTTACGAACAGCAAAAAAGAGAGAGAAAACTTACAAGAACTGGTGGAGGGAAGGGTGGTGGCGGCGGAGGTCACCGGAATCATGATCGGAAGAAGCCATAGAAGAAGAAGAAAGACAAAGTTCCAAGTTACAATTTTTCTCCATGAAAATGGGAAGAACCGCCATTAGAGGAAGAGGATCGAAACAATCAAACAGACCCAGATGAAAAAAGATGAGATTTTTGGACTTAACAAAATGGAAGAACGAAGGCTTGTTTATATGAATGCTTGACGACAAGATTGTTTCTAAAAAAAAAACACGTTTTAAATGTTTATTTAGAGGAGGCCAAATAATCCGCCGCTATTGATTTGGGAGCTCTTAATTTATCGTGTTTTAGTCATTTAAATCACGTGCTTAAGTCGGCAACATTATCTCAACATTTATTTGGATATTTCAGAAAAAAAATCTTGGTCTAAATTTTATTTAAATTATATAAACATTTCATAATTTCTTTTCCACTTTATTTTTTAGAATATAGAATATAGTTTGATAAAAATTCGAACCCTTTCGGTGGTATAATATACTATCTCGTGTTATTATTATTATTATTATTTTTTATAATATATGAATCAAAACGTAAACTTTTAAAAGCAATATTAGTATTAATATACAAACGGAAAACTGTTTATCTATATATCATATATCGTCTTACGACAAAAAAAAAAAAAAAAATTAATTTTTTTCTAAAATTTTTAAAATTTGTATCTAATGACAATATCTTTTTTAAAACTTTTTTTCTTAAACATTAAAACAAACTTTAGAAATATTTTTATTAATTTAGACCAACATTTAAATTATATATACATTTCTTAATTTTTTAATTTTTTTTTTAGAATATAGAATTAATCGGTTATTTGCATACAGATCAAAATTCAAATATTCAATTTCTAGGGAAAAAAAACGGTGGTAGAATGTACACGTCTTGTGTTAATTCCACACATTTACTTTTTAACTTTTTGTTCGTTCATATAACTTTATGAAATAGTTCATTCAAATTAAAATCACAAAAATTAAAAATAATATTACCATTAAATCAACCAATAATAATGTGACACGTAGGTTTATAAATTATAAATTACCTCTCCAACTATAATTATATCTTATTTTATTGCATTATTGATTAGATTTATTTCGTATTAAAATTATACTTCAATGAGGTAGCTCGGTTAGAGTGTTTAGGTCAAATATTCTTTACGAATCGTTTGGTTTAAAGTTTGTGAAATAATCATGAATGTTAAATGTATGAAAAATTAAAAATGCGAGAATATATAAAAATAAACGGAAAATATAATTGATGAATAATTTTATAATTATTTTTAGTAATAAAGATTTGTATTAAATTATTTATTAAAATTGATATGGGCTTTTTAAGCTTTTCTCAGACATCCCATTCCCAGAACTGTTTTCATTCAAATGTGGGCATGATTCATTTATGTATCTCTTCTTTACTCAGGCATCACAATAATAATGTGATTAAAGTCTCACATTGGTGAGTACGAGACGTTTGTCGAATATTCTCGAGCGACAAACAAAAAAAATATATAAAATCATCAACACGGTGATTCAAGCTCGAGGTTTAATGGACTGTTTTAAAAAAGAAAAATTGGTTTCGATAAGAGCTAGATAACTCTTCCTTCAAAGTTAGGTTATCAAATTCGAACTACTTGAAAAAGACATTTTTTATTTTATTTTATTTATCAAAATTAAAAATTTTAATCAAAATAATCTTAAACCTTAACCCAACCGTTAAAAATACCCGATAAAAATTCGACTCTTTACATATTTTACTCAAATTTAGCCCGATAAAAATACCCGATACGTATGAGCCTAACATAATTAGATACTTTACTCGAATTAAAAAAAAAAATAAAAAATGAGTAAATATTCCTCATAAATACCCATTTCATTAAAATTAAAAGCAAAACTTTGGTTAGGTATGGAAAATAGGCCACCAAATTTTATCGCCCATTAAATACTCATCTCTCCTTTATTATTATTATTATTATTATTATTATTATTATTATTATTATTATTATTATTATTGATATAATTACCAACTTTTTTTTGGTTTATTTTATTAAGAATATTATTATTTTTTTGTTTAAGTAAATAGCTATCAGAATTTCATCTAAATAAATATATAATATTTTTGTTTAATTACTTCTAACAATTTTATCAAATTATTAAAATAATTTAAACTAATAAAAATTTCATTTCTTTTATGTTTTTGAATTTATTTAATAATTAATATTAATAATTATTTTCGAATAAATAATTTTAATAAAATTGTATAAATTTTTATTCACTCGAATATAAAATACATTTATTTCAATTTATTATAATTTTCTTCCCAGACTTGATTGGTAAATAAAATTAATTTATTATCAAGAAAAAAAGAATAATGGAAATGAAACTGTTAAACCATAAACAAAACATAAATAATTGAAGAGTTATAAAAAAAGAAACAACATTAAACTCAAATAATGAAAAAAAAAAAAACAAAATAATATAATTATATTAAAATAGAAAAAGAAAATAAGAAAAATAAATAATTAAAAAGGTTGAGAAAGTAAAGAAGTGAAGAAATAATAATAATAAGAATAATAACAAAAACAGAAGAAACCTATTTTTAAAAAAAAAAAAAACAAAGAAAATAAAAGAATGGATTAAAAAAAAAAGTCAATTCTAAATTTTTATGAGTTTGGTTATTCGTTAATTATATTTAAAAATGTTCGTATCCGATCCATTAGTTCAATCAAAACCATAAAAATTGAGTTGGGCTAATTTTTGTTCAGTTTGAGTCGGGTTGAATTTTTAGAAAATCGGTTAGATTGGTTGGTTGACATCTTTTGGTCGAGTCAACTTCAGCCATCCAAAAAAATAGAATTACGTTATTAATATAACATGTGTTAGGATCGCACAAACACGATCTAGATGAGCACAAAGAACATGTATGATGCATATATATATATCCATCTACTATATATAACTATCGTTTTTTTTTACCATTAGTGTGACAATTTACTTTATATGTCATTTACCAAATATAGCTTTAATGTGTAACTGCTACTGAGCTATAAATAAGCAACTTGTTCTATAACCTAACAACATGTACGGTGAATAAATAGAAAATTTTAAATAATTAAAATAAGAACAACTCGACAACTTAACCATACCTAACTTAGTGTTGGATGGAATAGGGTTGGGTCTAGCGGTGAATTCTAGACATGGTTGCTTGAGTCACTCACCCAATAAATCTAAAATTTTGCTATAATTATTTTTTTATTATTCATTCCGAACAATTTTTATAAACAAATTTTTAAGTATTTTAAATTATAAATCGTAATTTAATTTAATTTTTTATTTTTTTAAACGATTACATTTAAGTGAAACAATTAAAAGGAGAATTTAAAGCAAAAGAAAAAATAATAATAATAAATAGGGTTTTTTTTTTTTTTTTTTTTTTTTTTGGAGGTGGCGATGAAATCGAAGTGGAGCATGTGGATGTGGGCGATGATATTCCTGCAGTTAAATCGCCAATCTCTGCGAGGAACACACTGCCTGAAGAAGACGAAGAAGCAGCGAATACTGTAACGGAGCTCGATTTCTTCTCCTTTCCCCCTTGATTCCTCCGCCGTCCCCCACCATTTCCCTTTTCGTTTCATATAAATTCCTCTTCTCCCTGCCACCCGCTTCACAATCTCTCTTCCTCCCCATCCGCTCTGCTCTCTACACATCGGATATGGCGACTGTTTTCCAGGGGCTTGCAGTTCGTACGCCTTTCTCCCCTCCCAACGCCTTAGATTCCAACAAATCCCTCCTTCACCCTCCCAGATCCCTCTCCGTTTCTGGTAATTTCTTTCTTCTTTCTCTTTTCTTTTCCTTCCATGCTTCTTGAGTCTCTTATTCTTGTTTTTTTTTTTTTTTTTTTTTTTTTTTTTTTTTTTTTTTTCATTTGATTTNGGCTGGGTTGTTCATTGTTCGATCTGAGGGAAGAACTAACCATGTTCTCAGGCCTAGATCTCGCTCTGACCAGTTCATCACTACTGCAGTTGCGGTTAGTTGCTTGCTTCCCCTCCTCCTCCTCTTTCATTTTCTTTCTGTTTTTACTGCTTAATCAACCCCCACTTCGTTCTACTAACTTTTTTTTTTTTTTTTTGTTAGACCAAGGCTGATAGTTCCTCTGCTTCCACAGCATCGAAACCAGGGTATGCTTCTCATCATTCCTGTAATTAACACCTGAACTTACTATACTTGACTTGATTATTCAAAGTAATAGAATTGCTGAAGCGTTGTTATTATATTTGATAAGGGATTTTGTGGGATGAGGAAATTCTTTGATAATTGTGTTAACATTTTGACTTGAGTATTGGGAATTGGGATCTCTTTTCCTCTGAAACTGCATGACATGTTACGGATTTGGAAGCTCTGTTGCAAACGCTTAATGCCTAAATATCTTCTGAGCTTTACTTTATTGAGCACTTCGCCACTATTTTTGTGAAAGGTTGTGTTGGGGCTAATAAGGTTGTGTTTAGAGCTATACCCTTTTCTTTTTGCATGGACCTCTCACGAGAAATTCAAGTCAACCATGTTGGACTTTTTCGAAGATGGTCTTAGCAATTACTTCCTTTGCTTCACGAGCTTGAAGTCATCCATTGTTTCACTGGAAAATAAAATGATAAAGTCAATGATTTGGCAATTAGCCGTAAAAGCTGATTCATTGGGAGCAATTTTACCATGAAGAATGTCCTTCGGTCTGATGGCAAGTACCGTAGGGGTGGTGACTATGAGACTTGACACATATACGAAGTTAAGACAACTAGCAATGTTTGAAGAGCTTGAAGATATGGAAGGATTTGGTGGGCTATGGCTGGTGGAAGAGGATGGGATCCTAAGAGCTTAGGAAGTCGTGTCCAAAATTAGAACATAAGAATAATATTAGACATGATTTTAGCTTGTTGGATACGTATTTGAGCATGTCTGGTGGATGTATCCTTGTCCTACACATGTTCGACATGGACACTTACCTAAAACAGTCTTTATGCTTTAGATGAGGTGTGTGTTTTATAGGAGAGACACAGGGTATCAGGATTTGGATCTCCTTCTTCATCGATGCTTTTCTTTTAGACAATTTGGTTCAAGCCTTCTTGGTAATGCCTTGGCTTTTGGTTCTGCCTAGGAAGAGGTGCTTCTTTTCTGGATGGTTTTCTCTCTCACACCTTCTCATTTAGGGACTCGGGGAGGGTTTTCGGTCGGTAAGTCAGTTATAATAATGCTGGAGAGTGTTTCCTGTGTATTACCTTGATGTTTGCGAAGGCTTCCAAGCCTCCCTTTTCTTTCAAGTATCTTGATGCTATTGCCTTGCGTCTTTCCTATTCTTGCTTCTGAAATTTGGTCTCTCAATAGAATCATCGTCAGATGTTCTGTATATATATATTTTATATCTGTGCATGTGCAATGTGATTTTCTAGTCCCTCTGCATTTGGATTCAGTATACATATTCATAAAAGATAACCAAGTTTTTAGTAGTGAAATTATGCTCTCAGGACAGTCTGAGAGACTGAACACATTGTGCACCGAAGTAGCTCACGTCGTACTTGTTTGTTTATTCAATCAATGATGGTTCTGAAATTCTGCTATGTTTCATGTGTGATATTTATTTATTTTATCAGAGACAATTTTATTGATGTATAAAATTTACAAAATAAAAAAAAAAAGAAGAAAAAAGGAACAATTTCATATTAGATGGTGATTACAAAAAGCTTTCCAAGTTGATTATAAGGGAAGCATACCCGTAAGAAACAAAGAGATTGGACAGTTTACACTAAGAAATAACATAATAAATAATGAGCTTGAAAAACCCTTTAAAGGTGTACTCTTTATCCAAAAAAGCCCATTGGATTCATTCCTTCCATAAAACCCAAACGAAGGCCAAGGTGATGTGCTTCCAAAGCAGTGCTTTAGCATTGTTAAAGGGGTGATCTGTCTGAAAAGTTGATAAGATCCTTTAATATAACTAGGAATTGTCAAATACCAGCCAAAAATTCCAAGCAAGCGGGCAATGAATGAATTTCTGCTTTTGTGCTTCGCCATCAGCCTTGCATAAGAAACACCAGCCTGAGGAAATGGCCAAGTAAGGTAGTATTCGCCTTTGAAGGATATGTTGAGTTAAAATGGCTATGTGAGAAATTTCCTAAAGAAAAAACTTGATCTTCTTGGGGTAATTATATTTCCAAATACATCTAGCCAAACATGTCTCCAAAAGGTTAACTCAAGGTTAATTGAGTTGACCATATCATAAAGCAGAGATTTGATGGAGAAGGAACCATTTGAATTAGGAACCCATCTCCATGGATATTCCCTTTGTAAGACAGACAATTGGTGCAAGATCGAGACTGAGATCGTTCCATCTCCATGCCTTTCAACTTTCTCCCAAGTTAGATATTAAAAGTGGCTCCACACCTCTTTAACCATTGCCTTCTTGCAATGTAGTTTTTATTTATGGGTAATTTGCTTTGTATTGGTGAGAATCCAATGCCCCAAAAACCTAAGGGTTCCTCCTCAAGGTTCGTCTACGGAGGGTGAGTTAGGGCCTAAGATCAGGCCGAAAAGCATAGTCGGTGGACAATAGGTGAATATTCCTGTACTACCCCCTTGTTGGTCCCGAGGGATGAGGAGGCTAGGTTAGCCGAAAGGTGGATATTGGTTCAAAGCCCCTGTCTTTTCAGGGTAAGAAGGGGTAGAGAAATACTTTGAGCCAATGTTTGAGTACCAGGCGCTACGGCGTTCGTTGAAGTAAGTAACTCATGTCATACTCCTAGGAAAAGCTTGGGTGGAGACGAGGAATGGGGAGAGATGATTGCATTACCACGTCTAGTTTAAATAGTACTTACTTATTTTGTTACAATTTTGTGTCGTTAATTTGAGTCATGTCATTGAATTACCATACATGTTGATCGACAAACTATACGGCCCTGCGGCCCTTCTCATGTATCAGTTGTGCCACAATTCTATATACATGCTGTCAAAATTTCTGTTGCATTTAATCTCTTCATTCTTCTTCTCAGGCATGAACTCTTGCTTTTTGAAGCACTAAGAGAAGGTTTGGAGGAAGAAATGGATAGGGACCCATGTGTTTGTGTCATGGGTGAAGACGTCGGTCACTACGGTGGTTCCTACAAGGTAACCAAAGGTCTAGCTACCAAATATGGGGATCTTAGAGTTCTCGATACGCCTATTGCCGAGAACTCCTTCACAGGTATGGGTATTGGAGCTGCCATGACTGGGCTGAGGCCAATTGTTGAGGGAATGAACATGGGATTTCTTCTTCTTGCATTCAACCAAATTTCTAACAATTGTGGAATGCTTCACTACACATCTGGCGGCCAGTTCAAGATACCAATAGTTATTCGTGGCCCCGGTGGAGTTGGGCGTCAACTTGGTGCTGAGCACTCGCAACGTCTCGAATCATATTTTCAGTCAATCCCTGGAATCCAGATGGTTGCTTGTTCCACACCCTACAATGCAAAGGGCTTGATGAAAGCTGCAATCAGGAGTGACAACCCAGTGATCCTCTTTGAACATGTTTTGCTTTACAACTTAAAAGAGCGAATCCCAGATGAAGAATACATTTGTTCTCTCGAGGAAGCCGAGATGGTTAGACCTGGCGAGCACGTCACAATATTGACATATTCCCGGATGAGGTATCATGTGATGCAAGCTGCTAAAACTCTTGTAAACAAAGGTTACGATCCTGAAGTAATCGACATCAGGTCGTTGAAGCCCTTCGATCTTCACACGATTGGGAACTCCGTGAAGAAAACTCATCGAGTACTGATCGTTGAGGAGTGCATGAGAACCGGAGGAATTGGCGCTAGTTTGACAGCAGCGATCACTGAGAACTTCCACGATTACTTGGATGCGCCAATTGTATGCTTGTCTTCTCAGGATGTGCCTACTCCTTATGCAGGGACTTTGGAAGATTGGACTGTGGTACAGCCTGCGCAGATTGTCACTGCCGTTGAACAGCTTTGCCAATAATTTAGTTAATTCAATCAGAAGAGCTATGGAAGTTAGCGTCGAAGTTGTGGTTCGTCTCAGTGATAGAAGAGTTATTTCTCTTTGCGTCGCATCGAGTTAGCGTTAATGAAGATTTCACTTTCAGATCTCTGAGCAATTTTTCATTATTGAAAACTTATGCAACTGTTTGATTGTTTGTTTTGTTTGAACTCCTTCTTTCCCCCCATGGTTCCATTTTTCTTTAGTACTTGTTTTTGTAATGTTCTTTCGCAGATAGGCCCGAGTAATATGGTATTGTTGATCAGTTTAATAGGATCTATGATCCATTTTTAGTATCACGTAATTGAAGGTTTATTGACCGTGGCTGTCTCCTTTCAAACCCACAAATTATGTGTTTGTTCCACTTTAAAATATTGATTCTATAGATATGTCTATGGATAGGGGATGTAGAAGTCTTAAAATTTCTCTTATAGCAAGGATTCCCATAGGGAATGTGAAGACTTGGATTTTTTTTATTGCATGTATGTCATGCACCGCCATTGCATGTATGTCATGTCTGATATGCACTCAAAGTCGCCATTGCATGTATGTCATGTCTGATATGCACTCAAGGTTCTTATTGTATGTATGTCATGTCTAATATGCACTCAAGGTTGCCATTGCATGTATGTCATGTCTAATATGCACTAAGAAGTTCATTTAAAATATTTTGTATGCAAATAAAGTTACTATCAAGAAAATAGCAGAAATAAAATAACAAAAACAGCTTAGGGCTACAATTTAAACATAAATGAACCTTAGGATTGCAAGTTAAACATAAATGTAACTATCTTAGCTTCGATCCCATGGCTTCCACTGTGACATCTGTACATTGGGTACCTTACATTACCTCAAAAAACAAAAATTCAAAGTAACCAAAACACTGTAATCTAACCTAAGGCTACAATTTAAATATAAATGCAACTATCTTATCTTTGATTCCATGACCTCCACTGTGATGTCGTCAACCATTAAGGGATATCTTACCTTTACTTGAAAAATAAGCACGTACCTTGGGTATTTTAAGAAATATTCTCAGTAAGTGATCCCAGGGGTCAAGAAATACAATCACATGCAACCGTGTTTGAGACCTATCGTAAAACATTATTTCATGGCCTTGGTCACAACTTCCACTATGGATAGAATTAGAGGTGTAAGTACTTATTTACACGTGGCCTACGCGCACATGAACCCTCAGACAAGCTCGTATACGTACTTTTGGACCTAGCTTTCAACTAATGTAATCCCACATTGCCGATATATCATGGAGGGAAGGGAGTGTGCATAGTATTGTGGTGTATATAATACTATATCATAACATCATGAAGGACATAAATGCTGTGAGATACATGTTTGTACTAATCATGACGGTGAAGTATCTCAATGCACGTGATCAATAATATGCATGAGGTCTCATAGTTTAAAATCATGATTAATATCCGTGATACACTACGTATTTTCGTTCATTTCATACATAACATAATCATTTCATGTCATTACATAAGGTAGAGTACAATATGGTACCATACTTTCATATCAACAATGACAACATGTCGACATAATGTTCCATAACATGACATATCTCATCATAAAAGCACATCATAACATAATAAACAAACATAACAATCACAAGATAAAACTCAGCAAGGACGATATGACACACGCCGTTCCTGAACAATTTATCCAACCCAAATACTAGTGAAGAAGTCACTTACCTGGTAGCTCTAGGTCGAAGTTACTAATTATTCTTGATATTAGCCTGAATATGCTCCTCACCATTCAAATCAACTTTAGATCAGTTCCATCATCATGTCAAAACAAAATGACTTCAAAAATCGGCCACCATGTGACCCAATTATTGTATTTACTAGATTCCTAATCTTACTTCCCAAAGAATTTTCATAAAACTACAATTGGGATCTCTTTGTTTTAATACAACTTTTGAGTGTAAACTTGAAAAGATGATTTCATCAGATACACAACTTTCACCAGAAACGTCAGAAGAGATTTAAAGAGACAAAATTATGCCTTTACAATCATCAAACGTCCAACATACATAACCAAAAATATTGAAACTAAAATTCTTTCTGTACATTAATTTGACAAAGGGATTGATGATGAACATCCCGCCCTCCTTCCAACGCCCGAAATTTTCGGTGTTGTTTGCAAGGGGAAAACACTATTTTAAGCAAGGTAATTGTATATCTGTGGGTTGCTCTTGTCACGTTCTAGGTACTCTCTATCGATTAGACTTTCGATCCGCTTCTTCAAATCCGCTGGCTTTATTGGAAACTTTAACTGTTCAACACACCACATAAATCCAGTTCAATATATCAAGAGTCAAGATATTACACACTTCTCAGTTCCTCCAAACAAAACAGAATCAGATAGCCATTTTCGCTTTCATTTATAGGTGGAAGAAACGTCCCGGAGTTGCAAGAAGTGCCATTTAATGAAAAGTGTTTCTTGTTGGGAAAAATAAAGAATAATATGGACTTAAGAATGCACGAGGTGCTTTTACCTATCAAGCATAACTCAATTGATTAAGACATTATATTTCAGCTAAAAAGACAAAGGTTCGAATCTCTAGCCCCTACATATTGTTGAAACAAAAAACGAAGCCATTTTCGCTTTCATTTATAGGTGGAAGAAACGTCAAGGAGTTGCAAGAAATGCCATTTAATGAAAAGTGTTTCTTGTTGGGAAAAATAAAAAATAATATGGACTAAAAATGCATGACGCGTTTTTACCTATCAAGCATAACTCATCTAATTAAGACATTATATCTCAGCAAAAAATGCCATTTAATGAAAAGTGTTTCTTGTCGGGAAAAATAAAGAATAATATGAACTAAAAATGCATGACACGTTTTTACCTATCAAGCATAACTCATCTAATTAAGACATTATATCTCAGCTAAAAAGACAGTTCGAATCTCTAGCCCCTACATAATGTTGAAACAAAAAACGAATAATGTCTTGTACCTGTTGGAATAGTTCGGTTATCAGAAGGGTGTGACTCAACACTTTCCGGGTTTTCATTATTCGAACAATCGCGGCATCAACCTGCAGATGCCACACAACTAATTTAGGGGTATACGAATCGGTAATCTACTATTAATCTGCTGTTTGATCAGAGAATAGTAACAAGCCTTTCAAGTCTTATTCTTCATTTACATTCCACCATTGAACAAATTAACTCTAGTCTATAGATGACTTTGATTCTAAGTTTACATTCAAGTTCAAATTACATGAACTGAAAAAACTCCATTAAAGAGAGGGGGAGAAGAACTCTAGAGAAAAATGGTTAACCTGATATTGACGATCCTGAAAGACTCTTTCAGTTGTGCTGGTATTCTCTTCTACTGTTTCCTTCATCTGAATTGCATTGACCTGCATCGCACACGATAATACATGTAGTTTCAGACGTTGGAATAACGCGATCATTCCGAGTGGGCAAAATAAAAATTGACGTACCTTAAGACGGTAGAGGGGAGCAGTAAACACTTCATTGAACACGAACGAATCATGGTCCTCCACGTCTCTACCTTTGGGTATCTAAATATATGATGGAGAGAGAAAAGAAGTTCAAATTCATAATTCATTTTATATTTTCTCCCAGAAAAGACATCAAATGAAGATGTCGTCCACCTTTTGCAGTACTCTAACTTTTCCACAGGCAAGTGACTGTAAAGTCCTCCTGAGTTCTTTATCCTCAATTCCAGTAGATTCTCTAATGTCTTGAAAACTGAGCTTCTCAGCGTCGTTGAAAAGCATTAAAACCACAGTCTGGACGACAATGCACAGTTTAAATCTTTCGACGTGGTAAGAAAATACAATGATTTCCCGCCCCATTTCATCCAAGAGAGACAAGGAAAAGTAATACCAAAAGGCCCCAAAGAATCCCTAAAAACAGCCATAATGCCCAAAGGTAAACTCACCTGAAAAAGGGAAACTGCCAACTCTTTTTTACCTTTTGGGAACTCAGCTTTCAACACACAGTGGCCTAAGGAATTATGCCACATTAAGCGTCTCCCACTGTACTTGCTCAAATAGAACTCTTTGAAAATGTCCTACAACATGAAGCAAGGAAATCAAATGATTACTCCAAATTACATGTACTCTTAAAGATCCATACTATTGTCCATTGATATCAACCTGGTAGACATTCAATTCGTGGGGAAGCCTAACGTCCATGGGAGGATAAGTTGGCCAATACCTACAGATGACCAATTGATTATTAAAATTCTTGTTAAAGGCGGAACAGTGAAATAGAGCTAATCAGTAAATAACGACAATAATTACAACTTACCCAGTAGTTAAGACATGAACACTCATTTCAATCCCCATGGGGAGCTTCGTCCTCGCTTGGGATGATTGCTTGAAAGATTCATTGATCTCTTTAGACAATTCTATGTCCTAATACAATACACCAGAAAATGAATTTCAGGAGATGGTGAAAACTAACCACAATTCACAACTATTCGGGATTGTGTCAAAAACAAAATCACAATTGTTGGATAAATCTTTAAAATAAATTTCAGAAGTATGCACCTTAAACATTCCTTCAAGTTTGTTCGTAAACTGACTACCACACTCGGTCTTAAGCTGCAATGAAGAAAAAAGAACTAGTTAGCATTATTAAAGCAACTACGAGCTAAAGAATTGGACAAACAAACTGTTGCCATGATTAGTAAATAAAACAATCACTATTGAAATTTGAAACAAGGAAAAATTGTCACCGACTTTGGAGATCATAGACTTCTCTGCATCAATGGAAGCACTCTTTCCTAGAAGAAGCCTCTTCGCTAGATCCTTCTTGTAAAAGGCTTCAAACACATCTTTTCCCTACATTGAATAAAATCAGGCAGGCTGTAAAATTTGTTTTCTTTATGTCAATTACAAGTGTGCAAAAGCTATGGCAAAATAAAATAGCAAGTCGCCGAAAATAATTTGAGATCAATTAGAAAAATATGATAATTACCTGAATAAACCTGAACAGAACCAACACTTTGTCCAGGGTACCCTCCAATTCTTCTTCAGACGTACCCTTATTTCCAGCACGGAGTTTTTCATCAAGAAACTTTGCAATCAGTTCGGCAGGACGATTCTACAGAAGGAAAATATCCGGCTGTTAGATCATATAATTGAACATAGACCAGCAACTGAAATGATGATACAAAAGAAAATGTTAAAAGCTGATGAGGAAATCAAAACTAGGTCTTGAAAGTAATATAGATTAGCAGAATTAATTCACATATCGAGAAAAGTTTGGTCCATAGATTTTACAACTTATGATTATGAGCAAGATCAAAGTCCAGTTTATCACATTACATCTGAAGAAA